TGCCACAATTTTTCTTTTTTTTCGCAAAATGCTAAATAGGCTACCACAAATGGAAACCCTGCTGAGGTCTATCACTTTTATTGGGCCAAAATAAGTGTTGTCTCCTTGGTGCAGATAGGAATTCAAAAATAGCAAAACCTATGGAATAGTATACATTTATTTTTTGTTAGATTTTCTTGTGGTCTTCTCTTCGATTACATTTAACCCAAATTGTTATGAAATTACATTTAAGAAATAATTCTTTCATGCAATGCTCTCAATTATGCTGGTAGGCATTAAATTTGTCAATATCTTTATACCGAGCATTAGCGAGGTGTAAAATATTGACCAATATAATGCCTACCCATGTTAAAATTAGCATAGAGCAAGGCATGATAGAATTATTTCGATTCTAATAAGAACATTTTGAACTTTTGTACTTAGATGCTGACCTATAATACATGTTTGAAAGGCAGCCATTTTGATTATGAACCAAAAACGTTATAGAAAATCTAGTTTATCGATAAAAAATGAACAGATACATTTAAACATACATTTAAAATGATTTCATTTAATTTCCTAACGAGCAACACCCACACAAATGTCCATTTTGATTGTCCAGCATTGTTCAAAATTCAACTGACATCATGGACATTGCAATTTCAATTGTGACATCATTCACGTGCAGCCCATGTTTTATTGGAATTAGAACATGGCTTTGTTTCCAAAGCAAAAGATGAATGTCATATTAGAATATTTGATAAGTTTTGTTTTTTTGGTGCAGATAAGAAAATCAAAAAAGGCCAAAACCAGGACCTTTGCTAAAATTTCAAATGGTCATCTTTACAAGAATAGATGTGAACTGTCAATAAACTATAGAAAAATGTTATAAGAAAAAAAACATCCAGTATGGGATTTGTCTGGTCATAGGTGTTATTGCTTTGTCTGAGGTGTCAACAACTGTTAAGTTCTCTGCTTAAGTCAGTTTGATAGGAACTACTTTTGATAGATCAATGATTATTTTCTATAAAGTTGTATTCACTATCTGAACATCTCACTTTGTCGACCTATTCAAGGTCATGGTCCAGCAACTTTGAATGACTGTAAATGCAGAAATTATTGCGAGATTTTTATCATTGAGAATAATGCGAATAGGTGAGTATCGCAATAATAAGAATTCACATTTCTAATATCAGATACATTTATCTGTCTACCTGAAATCGCAATGAGAAATCTCATAGTTTTGTCCTGTCTTCAAAAATCACAATAATTTCTGAATTTACAGTAATTAGCAATGTTGCTGTCCATCAGATTGCCTTTTTCAGAATTTTCTGTCGATAAGCTAGAGTTGTCTCTGTGTCAAAAGTTTTATTCAGTATCATTGTTGAAGGCGGTACAGTGACTTATATAGTTGGTTACTTCCACATCCTTTGGACTCAGATGGATACTGTAAATTCAGAAATTATTGCGAGGTTTTTATTAATGCGAATAATGCGACGGAATGAGTATCGCAATAATAAAAACTCGCATTCTGATATCTGATACATATAACTGTATGGAGATTTTCCTGAAATAGCATTAATTAATCTCGCATTTTAGTCCATTCTTCAAAATTCGCAATAATAAATGCACGCAATAATTTCTGAATTTACAGTAGTTATCTCAATGGCAATCATACTATTAAATCTCCTTATCTATGTCATGTTTTGTTATTAACTTTGTACATGATAAAAATAAGAACATCATTATGAGTTGACCAATTTGAGTTCAATTAAGGGATTTAAGAAACTTGAATCTGAATTAATAATACCTTATCAAGGACAGGTAAAGTACAGAGTCAAGCTACTACTTATTTAATATTTATTTTGCGTCAGTTGGACAAATGTCCAGCAAGCTTATCAGAAATGCGCTTCTTTCAAGCAAAATAGACTTTTGGCGACTGTGTTTTTGTCTGTCTGCATTTGCCTCTTGGTATCATTGTAATTTAATATTTCTTGTTCAAAGAACAATTAAAAATATTGAGCAATTCTGCTTTTAAAAGTACATTGATATGAATTTATTGAAATGGCGATGTTTTTTTAACTTTTAAAGTTCATTAACCTTATCCTGGCAGTCTGCACCAAAATCTTATCAAACTACTAGTCCATTAGACCAATATTCAGACCTTTTTCTTATGTGTCTAAACAAAGTTTTGCAAATACTCACTTAATTAGTCCCAATAAAATTTTACTAGTCGGAGACATCAGACTAGTGGCTAATGGTGCAGACTATCCTGATAATCTTATTTATTTTTGGATTTCAATGGAAGGCAGGACCATGAAATAAAAAAGTTAAACTAAACGCGTATATATAGTATTTTTAGTAACTTTGATTACAGAAAATGATTGAACCACGAAATCAAGTAAACTCAAAATAGCAAACTTTCTCCAACCATAAAAATTTGTATGAGATGAAAATAAATAAATACACAGTATTGGAATATAAGAGACAGGGATTGTTATCATGGTTATTTGTAAAACTCCAAAGTACAGATTCCTGGGAATTTTTATAGCTTATATAATGTCTCAAGTAGATAAGTTTCATTATACACCTAATCAATACAAGCTGACAGATTATCTTTTAAGTAAAGCATTATTTTATAAAAGCCAATAGATACTTTTGTTTTAAATGTCTCATATTCATCAAAATTATATGACAAAATACCTCATTTGACAAAAATATGGAGAAGCATCAAGCATTGACCTTTATAGTTTTATGGTCCTTAACAAATAGATATGTTCTGACTTGTTTGATCTTTGACCTTAAAAATAATGGTATTGTGTACTCTTAAAGGGTAAAACCAAATCTGCACTTTAGCATTTTAAAAAATTGATCAGATCTTTTTCGAAACTTAATCAGTTTCTTCATTTTATAGCAAATTTGGACTCAAGATCATGTTTAAGAGTCGCATATAGACAAACATTGCTTTATTTTTGCAGAGATTACATCTTGTAATTTCAAACACAAAACCTGTTTGCAATATTTTTTTCTTCGCAATTTTCTTTTCCCAGTGGCTCATATCTTCCATCAAGGTCAAATTTACATGATAGAATATTTTTGTCATCTTTATGTTAATTGCATATACAATGTATTAGCGAAAATAAACCACACACAAGTATTTCTCCAACAACCAAATGGCTGCCCCACTTACACAAGGGGTTGACTGGCAGAAGGGAGTCCAGGGATGACCATATTTCTATGCCCCAGTCAACCCTTGGAGGTCCCCAACTCAGTAAATAAAATTGAGAATGGAAAGGATGAATGTGTTAAAGATACAACAACCTGACCAAAGAGCATAAAACACCCACTGGCCACCAATGGGTCTTCAGCACAGCAAGAAAATCAAGCACCCGGAGGCGGGCTTCAGTTGGCCCCTCCACAAAAATGTGTACTTATTCAATGAAAATGGACATCACACTAAACTCTGAAACATACAAATGAACCAAAATTAAAAAAACATACAAGACTAACAATGGCCAGATGTTCCTGACTTGGGACAGGTGCAAAATTGTGGCAGGGTTAAACATGTTTTGTAAGATCTCAACCCTCCCCCTATATATATTTAAAGCATGCATATTTATCAAGCCGGAAACTCAAAATCAATTGAACAAGTTGTACATACATATTGTTCATTAAAAGTAAAAACAACCTGAATGTACTTTGTTATAGTGCAGGAATGGCACAGTGTTCTATGGACACATTTTTCTTTATTGCCTGTACTAATTATTAATTTTGGAAGATTCAGTATACTACAAAAATAAATTTGATAGATTCTCACCCCTTCCCACACCCTAAATGACCCATAATTGTCTCTTCTTTTTTTTTTATCCGAATGAAAGAGAGAAAAAATATCTAAAAAATTTTTTGATGTCATAATGAAAAAATTGAAAAATAAAAAGGTCAAATCTGTACAGATATTTTGAAAAAGGAACATGTAGTATAATGGGGTCTCATTGAGGGGGGGAGGGGGGGGGGGTCTGATCCCGGATCTCGCTTATTGTTTTATCAGTTTCCTGTATCCCGCTTATCATTTCGGGCTAGTTGTTCATAATTCTCATAGATTTGTATACCTACAAATACATGAATGAGGTTTAATTGGTCTGTTAGAATTTTTGCCCTTGGTTTACATTTTGATGGACCATGTTGGAGGAACTACTTTTGGTAAATTATGTCATGTGACGATGTTGATTTCACTGTGATCTTTTTATAGACAATTACTTTCAAATTCGTACATTCTTTGTCTCAATGCTAACATGTTCCTACGTCATAATTATAACAGATTATTTAATGACGTCATTTATGCCAATTGACCTCTGGTCATATGATGTAACTCATTTATTGAAAACAATTTTAAATTAGTGATATAACACATGTGCATGGGATCAATGGATTCCAAGAAAATTTTAATTTGAAAAAAAAAAATTACAGAACTGTTATTGCTTTTCTAATGCACAACAAAAAGAAACAAATTTTGCAATGGAGCTTGGAAAAATGTATGTTATTAAAATAAAATTATATTACAAAAAATGTTGTGTATGATCATAGCCCTTTAACGTCATGAGAATGAAAACTCAATTAAAATTTATTCCTTTATTTGTAAACTTCAAATTCAGTTAATATCTTATTAAATGGAGTCTGAGGTTAGTTCTGTTTCAATTTCGGTTCTATAATCTCAATACTTAAGAACATTTGTGGCTATTTGAGGTTGATAAGGATTAAACATATTTTTTCTAGAGGTTATTGATGTATAAACTGGGCTGCTGACTCACAAAATTTACATAAAAGTTCTTTGGACTTTAATTAGTCTTTGAGTTAATATTGTCCCAGTTTACACATCAATAACTTTATTAGAAAATGTGTTTAATCATTTGATAAATCCATTTAAACAAATGCCACGTACATGTTTATGTTTAGTGCAAGTTTTGAAAAGCCAGAGCATTAAACTGACAATTTAAAAGTAACAAGGTAACTTTATTTTTCAGATACAGAAAGACGACCTCCTAAGATTGTGGCTATTTCTAAAGAAGTCAATGCCACAATTAAACACTCAGTTACATTAGAATGCCTGGCTGACGGAAATCCATCACCAGTGGTCACATGGATGAAAGGTTTGTGAAATCTCTTGATGAACTTGGTGTGGTGCCAAAACAGTCAGGGGCATTAAGGCTCGGTGTTTGCCTATGAAAATGAAGTTTTCGAGAACTATTTCAAAGTTGCTCATAATGTTTGGAAATGCGTAAAATCAAGAAATATAAATGAATTTCTTAAGATTTTAGATGTTATGACATTACAATTACGTCACAATATGCACCATTTTCTTGAAAACAAATAAAACTGCAGAGTTTATGCAGTTTTCCATCATTATTTCCTTTGTGGAAACATCGTGCACAGGCAACAAACAACAAAAAAATTTAAGAGGAACTTAAGTATAACTATTGACATATTCTCACCAAATATAAAGTTGTATATTGTTTATTGCGTGCCCACATAGTTTTCCAATCTAATATTCACTTAAAAGTTGATGTAAAGCATGGTTACTTATTAAATGTGAAATTTGTTTTTATTTTCTGAACACCTTGTATCTTAGTGTAGGTAGGACAAATTTAAGAATATGTATGAAAACATTTCAATTTGCACAAATATTTGCCAAATATGGGCCTTATTGCCCTTACTACTTTTTAGTTTGTACTTCAAAACAAAACTTAAATGCTTTTTCTAAATCTACGTTGCTTTTGTTCATGAATTGAAAATACAATATAGTGCCCTGATGATGTAAAGCCATATGGTATAACATATTACTGTGAAATCATTTATATTTGTGGGTATCAATTTTGATGGGATTTCAGAAAAATGGTATTTTGGCAGATATTTAATTTAATGGTTAACAAACATTATGTGTATATACAATTATATAGTCAATTTATACATCAATGAAGATTAAAGATTGATGGTTTCCCTACATCCCATGACATCATCGAGAATCAGTACCCTACAAATAATGAATCCACAGTTATATACTGTAAATTTCATTTATTTTCATGGATACAAATTTTCGTTGATTGAGGAACAATTGTATTTACGTGGATATTTGATTTCATGGTTTTGCCAAAGTCTGCATGCATACAAGAATATATAAAAATTTTACTTTGTGGAACATTTAAAATCATGGTTTAGCTGTACCCAGGAAATCCACGAAAATTAATATCCTACAAATAATAGTTCTGATGATTCATTTACTTTTAGTTCACAGGTATCAAATTTAATTGTTATTTCAAGAATACCTAATTTTGTGGTATCATCATTTGCTCAAATTAATGAAGTTAGCCAAGTATTTAAGACTGTTGTTTCCCATTACCCCCAAAAATACATGCAAATTTATTTCAATGTTTTTATTTAAAAAACAACAGTATAAAGTTCTCAATAATAAAAATTCCTGCATTTTTCCATATTTTACTGATAAATGGACTTAGTTTGTATACAGTTAACAAAACACTTAACACTCAGACTCAGTCTGAGGTTAAAATTTTTCAGTCATCAATAACCTTGTTAAACCTTCAAGGAATTTGATGAAATTTGGACAGAAGCTTATTAAAGACCAAAATAGAATATCCGAAGCAACATTTTGAAAATATTTTTTTTTCATTTTTCCGTATTAATATAAATGATAAATGGACTTGTTTGTTTTTACAGTTTACACTTAAGTAGATACAGTCAGGGGTTTGTTACACATCAGTTACTTTGTCAAACCTTCATAGAGTTTTTTGAAACTTTGGCAGAAGCTTTCTTATGATTAAGAGATAATGTCTGAAGCAAACTTTTGAAAATATATTTTTTTCATTTTCAGTATTTTTCTGATAGATTGGACTGAGTTTTACTGACTGACTGGGAGTAAAATTTTTTGACATGATAAATTTGTAAACCTTCATGGATTGTTATGAAACTTGTACGGAAGCTAAATCTTCAAGACCAAGAAGTAGCATCTAAAGACAGTTTGTTTTTAACATTCTGTATTTTACTGATAAATGGACTCACTTTTTAAGTCAACATAACGCTTTTACACTGACAGCAGTAATCACAGTCAAGAAACAGGGTTCCGTGAAACCCTTAAAAAATTTTATTAATGCTAAAATGGAACAGCATCAGGTATGCAATGATAAAAACTCCCATTCATAATTTTAGTAGTGATTTTCTTTCAGATAATTTTTGAAATTGCAGGTCAAGGATTAGCAAAAATAAATGCATGCATTAATTTCTGAATTTACAGTACTTAGTATTAACAATAGGTTTGATGATTTATTTATAGATGGAAATCCAACATTAGATGATAACTTTAAGGAAATTTATGGCAGGAGTAACTTAAAGTTTATAGAAGTCGGTAAGATTGACGCTGGGACATACAAATGTGTCGCTTCGTCACCAGGATTTCCTGATGCAGTGGCTGAGACCAAACTAAATGTCAAAGGTATGTATTTCAGTGGCTGTCCAAATTTCTGACCCTTCATTCTGGTCAACCTCACATTGCAAAACCTTTACCTATTGTATTAATTGTTAATTTGTTCTCGTCCTGAACTACATGAAATATTTGCAACTGGACAATTAATAAACTACCTTGTAGAACTTACCTATTGTATTAATTGTTTTGTTCTCAGCCGAAACATCCATGAAATATTTGTGAATGAACCGTTGAGTGAATTAGCAAACAACAGTCAAAGGTGTGAATTTTAATGAAAAAACATTATGTTGAAAATTCATGATGAACTTCTTACCACCGTACTTTAAAAAAAACCAATATAGTTTTGAAATTTGGGATGAATTATGCAGCCCATTGCAGTCAACTGAAAAATTACTATTTTATAACATTGTATACTTCATTCAGTTAATAGAGAAATTTTGTCAATTATGTTGTGGATGTCTATTTCACAGTGACCTTATTGACTTGTGCTTAAGTGCACTGAGGTATAATTGGATTTACTAATTGATTTCTATTTTGGTTCGTGACATGAATAATGTCTTGAACTTAAAATCAATTGATTTATACTGCACAAAATAATTCCAGGATCACAGCTTTTTATAATCTGTAAAAACTTTCAACAGAAACTCTCAGAGATAAGCCATCAACGCCAAATTTATTTCACATTTTTGAATACTGTAGAGTCATTTATTTTTGCTGGTACCAATTTTTCGTGGATTCAGCAAAAAATGTTTTTTGATGGATATTTGATTACGTGGTTTTGTCCAAGTATGAATACAAGCCTATATAGAAAATTTATACTTTGTTGAACTTATATATTATTTATTTCCCTATTCTCATGAAATCAACGAAATTGTTACCCCATGAATAATGATGAATCCACACTACTCCACAATTTTTTTATGCCCCTGCCGTAGCGCAGGGGCATTAAGTTTTACCCTTGTCCGTCTGTACGTCCCAAAGTTGGTTCTGTTCTCTAACTTTGAATTTTTTGAAACTTATAGACAATGCTTATTACCACAAAACACAGATTAAATATGAATTTTGGTGGCGTCACGTTAACCGATCTAGAGTTATGCCCCACTTCAAATGGAAAAATTACTGAATGTTTCGTTTCCATTTTCTAACTTTAGTTTGCCTCAACCAAATGTAATGAAACTTATACACAATGCTTATTACCACAAAATACAGATCAAGTTTGAATTTTGGTGGTGTTGCTTTAACCGTTCTAGAGTTATGCCCCTTTACAAATGAAAAATAGCTGAATTTTTCGTTTCCGTTCTCTAACTTTAGTTTGCCTCAACCAAATGTTATGAAACTTATACACAATGCTTATTACCACAAAATACACACCCAGTTTGAATTTTGGTGGTGTCACTTAAACTGTTCTAGAGTTATGCCACTTTACAAATGGAAAAATTGCTGAATTTTTCGTTTCCATTCTCTAACATTAGGTTGCCTCAACCAAATGTTATGAAACTTATACACAATGCTAATTACCATAAAATACAGACCAGGTTTGAATTTTGGTGGTGTCACTTAAACTGTTCTAGAGTTATGCCACTTTACAAATGGAAAAATTGCTGAATTTTTGGTATCCATTCTCTAACTTAAGTTAGCCTCAACCAAGTAATATGAAACTTATACACAATGCTTATTACCACAAAATACAGATCAAGATAGAATTTTGGTGGTGTCACTTTAACTGTTCTAGAGTTATGCCCCTTTTGAAAAGGAAAAAAATTGCTGAATTTTTCATTTCCGTTCTCTTACTTTAGTTAGCCTCAACCAAATGTTATGAAACTTATACACAATGCTTATTACCACAAAAAAAGTTTGAATTTTGGTGGTGTCACTTAAACTGGTCTAGAGTTATGTCCCTTTAGAAAAGGAAAAATTGCTGAATTTTTCGTTTCCATTCTCTAACCTAAGTTTGCCTCAACCAAATAATATGAAACTTATACACAATTCTAATTACCACAAAATACAGATCAAGATAGAATTTTGGTGGTGTCACTTTAACCGTTCTAGAGTTATGCCCCTTTAGAATTTTTTTGTTTCCATTCTCTAACCTAAGTTTGCCTCAACCAAATGTTATGAAGCTTATACACAATACTTATTACCCCATAATACAGATCAAGTTTGATTTTTGGTGGTGTCACTTTTACTGTTCTAGAGTTATGCCCCTCTTAAAATGGAAAAATTGCTGAATTTTTCGTTTCTGTTCTCTAATTTAAGTTTACGTCAACTAAATGTTATGAAACTTATAAACAATGCTTATTACCACCAAACTCTATTATATACGCCCTTTATAACATTATATGCAAGCGGGGCATCATCTGTGTCCCATGGGCACATTCCCCATTTATTTTTTAAAATAAGACTGCAAAAATTTCATTTGATGAAATGGTTGGTCTTGTCTCAGGATCAATTAATTCCAAGGAGGCGGTTTCACTAAAAAACTTGCGACTAAGATTGATCTTAAGTCATGAACAATTCAGTATACTTCATGATCAATCTTACTCGTAAGTTTTTTTTGTGAAACTGACTCCTGGTTTATGGCTAGGATAAATCATATAAATAATCTGAAGGTTCATGATCTCAAAATGATTGAGCCAAAAATAAATGAACACTTTACCATGTTTACAGAATCAGGCAAATAGAATACCAAAAAATCCAAATATTTGAGAATTTGGGATACTTTATGAATTGAGCTGTATCTGATAGAAATCGACCTTATGCAAATAAATATCAATACATCTGTTAACTTATTTCGGGTTTAAATAAATCTCTATCCAAAATCTGTAACTGTTTGAAAATTTATTTGATACCTACAAAACAGACTAAAATTCTTCTTTTATTTCGCATTTGTATGTTCAAAAATCAATCAAAGTCTTATACATGTACATGTATACATGCACTTGCTTAAGGTCGATTTCTATCCGATGCAGCTCAATTTATAACTTAAACTTGATATATTGATTCAAATTAATTTAAACTGATGTAAAACATTGTTTAGGTATGGACAAATTGAGAAATCAATAAAAATGTCCAAACATAGTTCAGTGCACTTCAAGCTTAGGTCAGTTAAGTCATTTCGAAACAGACATCCTAAACATAGCTGTCAAAACCTGTTTGACAGGATAGAAATCTACTAAGTTTTAGAATTGGAATTTTTTTTCTTTTGATATTAATGGACTGCACTTGAATATCAGATTTTAACCTTAGTTTCCTAATTCATGTAAATTAATCATGACGGGAGATGATATCTTTAGTTTTATAAATCTCCCATGAGATGTCAATATGGTTTGTTTTGCTGATATTGCACAAAAAATTGCAATTTAAAAATAATATCTAGCATTTATTGATAACTCTGAGTGAGTGAATTAGCCAGTATCTATAGAAATGGTATGATTGCCAATGAGACAACTCTGCACCAGAGACCAAATGACATAGAAGTTAAAGCTATAGGTCACTTTACAGCCTTGAACAATGAGCAAAACAAATACTGCATAGCAAGTTATAAAAGGTCTCCAAATGACAAATGTAAAACAATCGAACTAGAAAACTATAATGGCCTTATTTATGTACAAAGCAATCAGTGTAAAAAAAATATGATAAATAGCAATGACCGACTGCTGAATGACAGACTCCTGACTTGGGACAGGCACATACCGAATGTGATATGAATGAAATAACATGTCCAGTGTAAATCAACAGCAACACAACAACAAATACAAATACTTAAAGGCATCGAAAGGTCAACATATGGTTGTCAACTAGATATTGGTGTCCATACAGAAAAGTTGTGAATTAATGGAGAAGGTGATTAAGGTCCCAATATTGCCCCTTTTTCTAGCTTAATTTTCAAATTAGTATTTAATTGCCATAATCACAGTTTATAATAGTTAAAACAATGAGTAGATAGGAAATAGGTATATTTTTTATTATTTTTTTGTAGCGGCATTTATTTTACAATGTCAAAATTAGCATACAATTTAGTTAATCAAACGCTGTGAAATTAGACTATTATGCTAATTTCCACAGGAACTCAAAATAATGCAGATGTAATGTACATGACCTTCAACTTTTGTAAAATTGCAGGGTCCTGGACCTTTAAACTTTGAATAATTTCTTAAAAGCAGACCTCTAATTTTCACCTCCAAAATTGATTTTGGAACCCCTGTTGCATTGGTTTTTAAGATTTTATGCTTGCTATTATAATGAATAATCTATCTGACTTGAACATTTACCTTGTTGACCCTGTGCTCTATGTTTCCAGTGGCATAATATTATTGTACTGGGGTAATACAAAAGATTTTGTCAACTTCACCAAAATCTCTATTTTTGCCTATTCAGGGTGTAAATGTTAAAGCGGTAGTAGAAGATAAGCCGGACAAAAATGGTTTTAAGGCCCATATAGTACTTACTTCTTTAATAGAGATCTGCCTTAAACCAAGGCATTTTATGATAATTTCATACCATGCATGGGCATAATTGCCATTTATACATGATAACATAAAAACTCACTGCAATAATATTTGCGAAAGAGAGCCTGGATTTATACATTTGAAACTAGAGGATAAGTTATTCCCTAAAATTGACATAATCTATTGTATGTAATCTGTTCAATAAATAATGTTATATTTTCAGTGCCTCCATTCATAATTGAAGCTCCACTCAGCGAAGGGTACCCTGTAGCCAGGAGGTTTCGTTTGAAGTGTACTGTTGGAGGAACTCCTACACCAGAAGTTACTTGGTACAAAAATGGACGAAAGATTGAATCTCTGGAAAATATGCAGGTTTGATATTGTATTTACTCTATCATATTGATCTAATTTTATGTTTCTTTAGTAAGGGTAATTCTAGAATAAATTGTGTGATAGCTGGAAGGCACCTAATATTAATAAAAAGGGATTAGTTGGGTTTGAAACAATGTTTCACACAATAACACATTATTTGTTATCATATCAAAATGACTGACTTTCCAAATTCTCTGATAGATTGACTTGGAAGGCAAAAAATTCTGAATTTTTGTCCCCTGTGCAAAGCATTGTAGGTGACAGAAATACTGGGCGTCTGTCCGTCCGTCCAGTCTTGTTAGCGCTCTCACGTGAACAATTCTTGCCAGATTTTTATGAAACTTATATCATAGGTTTATATCAGTAATGTCTTGGACGAGTTCGAAAATCAGTGCTGATCAATTATTTTTTAAAGAGTTATGCCCCTTGGAAACATTAATTATTTGGAAAATTGCATCATTAGCGCTCTCATTTGTTTTCTAATTAAAACTTATATAATTTGTGGTAGCAATGATGTTAAAATCTCCATCTGGAGATATTAAACTAAGTTACATAAAACTATGGGTGCATGAATTATCTCTTACATATTGTACCAGTTGTCCACTCTTACTGGTAAGAATGTTATATGATGTTTTTGTAAATTTTTTGCTGTATTTAGATAAACCCAGACAATGAGCTGTTGATAGATAGCAGTACCAGTGATTCTGGATACTACCAGTGCATTGCCAAAAATGATGTCGGTGTTGACATGGCAATTGCCAGACTACAAATTATCCTGAAAGGTATTGTAAACTCATATCTTCTGATTCTCAATTTCTCTGCATATATATCATTATGTTTAATATTATTAGCAAGTCACATTAGGAAGTTTTTTGTTGAGACAGTTAATGTTAGAATCAAAAAAGCTTCATGTTGTGTCAAGCAGCTGATATTTTTCAAATATCAATATGATGAAAATCTATCTGATATTTGAATTATTAGATTGTGTTTGTGTGTTTTTCGTGATATAAACATTAGTTTTTCTTTGTTTTGACAACAAACTGCAAGAGGACTTGATAAGTTCAGGTTAAACTTATCAACATCAGGTCAAACATTGAAATGTTGATGACAAGTCTGTGTTATAAATAGCGAATATTATATGGCTTTTTCAATATCACATCTGTATCAACCCAAGACACCAATATAATCCTAAGAGCTCTGCTCGAGGGATTATATTGGTTGAGGGTTGATACAGTGTGTGATATTGAAAAAAAGCCATATCATATACACTTTATTATAAATCTCAAGCAGATGTTTGTTTATGTAACGTGATGTCATACAGATTAGGGGTTTGATAAAGTCTTCAGTCAATGACGTGACGTCATATAGATTAAGGGTGTGATAAAGCCTTTGCAACCGTGCTGATAACGATATCATCATGGATGGCTGATACAGTACGATTGCCATTGATCGTATTACACATACAATTTACATGTATTTACTACTTAGTATATAATAAAGATTGATTTAAGCATATTTGATGTCACAAAACCGTGATGTGCAATTTTAGGAAGATCTGAACAATGGGATATAGTCAGAGAGAAGATATTTAAGATGTAATAATATATCTTAAACATTTAGTAAAGGGAGATAACCCTCTTATTAAAACATTTGGTTATATTATATTTTAAAATAAAATATTGATACAATCATCTATACAGCTTATGGCTGTTTCTGTGAAATTACTGAACATCACAAAGGTTCCCCTAATATTTTGACTTCATAAAAGAAAATGTCTGACACCACAAAGAAAAAGTGATTGTTGTATGACGTCAGTAGTTCAAGTGTCGCAAATTCTTGGGTCAAGTGTCACAGATTCCCAAGTAGAGATAAGGTTTATTTGAGTGCATGTGTACTAAAAACAATAAAGCCAAATTTGCTTATTTGTTAGTGAACCATGAAACCAAAATTACCATTGTTTACTAAAAATTGTATAACCTTTATATTTTAAGAAACAAAACCTGAAGCATTTATAATTTTTGTTTTCCAGAAAATGCACCCAAACCACCTGGAAATGTGACTATTACAAGTGTTACCAGTACAGAAGTTTGTATTCAATGGTCACCATCAGAATACCCAGACTGCTGCCCTGTTCTAGCTTATACTGTTCACTATGGGGAGCTGAAGGATGGTGAGTTAAATGATATGGGGGTACCTTTGTTAAGGGAGATAAATCTTAAATGATCACTGCTATGTTTTAGTCCATTGTTTTCATACATATGTTCTTAGCTTCTTAGTTACACAGTCTTTTAACTCTGTTTCACATTTTGGAAATAATATCTAAAGTTACTGTAAAACCAATTGATTATAGCAAGTGATATAGTTATGTGACTTTGATGTGTAGAAAAATAATTTGAATATAAATAGCTTTGAGGGTGTAGTCATGTCAGGGTTAGAAATTTTTGTCAGATGTTCGGACTCCTTGGGTTTTTTCCAACTATACAGGGTAAAATATTTTGCCCCATATCACCCACTTTTCTTTTCATAGAAGACTTCAGTAGCTTATAAAAAGGTCATTACCAAAATTTAAGCAGATTCTAGATTTTTTCTCACGATTTGAGACCCAAACAATGCTAGATATAAGGTAATAATCCGAGTCAGCCTTTTCCTGCCATTTTTAAAAAATCAGATATCTCAAAAAGGAGTTCCATAACCTATCAATATTTTTAGCTTATTTTGTTCCTTAACTAATGCTCTTCTGACTTATAGTATCAATTTTAAATTCTAGATTTTTTTAATTTCACCTAACTACATCCTTATATATGTTAAACATATATCTTTTCTTGAATATGCCAACAAAATCATAAGATTACAAATATTATCACTGCAATGTCAGCTAAAAGAGCTAAACATAAATAAGTACTGAGCCTTTTATATTGGCGACTTTCCTGAACAAGAAATAACACAAAATTAAATTATTCTGAATTTGAACCTCTTGGATTTTCTCGTATATGAATACACATACAAATTAAGAAAATACCCAAAAAATGTATTGCAGTGAAGACTAAAAGCCAAAATACTATCAATGAAAATAAGTTGGTTTACAGTATCAATTCCTCATAAATGTATATGCTATATATGTATGTTATTACTTCTATAACTAATGTTTTCATATTATTCCAGTAACACAGAAGGCAGTTACATTGAAGAAAAATGAATGCATACATGATCTTAAGCCACATACAGATTACAAATTTTATATACGAGCCTACAGTAGAAATGGCGCTGGAGCCCAGTCAGATACAGTGACTGTTAAAACTAGAGAATCAGGTATGGATGGCATTGAATGAAGTATGAGTTATTCCCCTTTTTTGCACTTAAAGGTTCATATACAGCTTGTCAACTTTGAGGTTGTGAGTTTGAATCCAACTTGTGGTAAGGTTTTATATACGAGCTTACATTAGAAATGGTGCTGGAGCCCAGTCAGATACAGTGACTGTTAAACTATAGAATCAGGTATGGACGGCATTGAATGCAGTATGAGTTATTCCACTTTTCTGAACTGTTCATATACATCTTGTCAACTTTGAGGTTGTGAGTTTGAATCCAGGTTGTGGTACGAGCCTACAGTAGAAATGGCGCTGGAGCCCAGTCAGATACAGTGACTGTTAAATCTAGAGAATCAGGTATGGATGGCATTGAATGCAGTATGAGTTATTTTTCTGAACTGTTCATATACAGTTTTTCAATTTTGAGGTTGTGAGTTTGAATCCAGCTTGTGGTAAGGTTTTGACTCCAATCTTAGTTGACAATGATCATCCATTTTCCTGCTGAAATTCAATGGTTCTTATGAGTACTCAAACTTCACCACCAATAAAAACTTATCACCATGATATAAACAAAGTCACTGAAAGTGGGGTTTAACACCAACAAACAAACTAACATAATCTATTGGGGTGTTGGTAGTTATTCCATTTTTTGCCTTTTGTTTTATGAAGGAAGTGCTCATGATTTAGAGTATTCATTAAGTAGTATTAACTCCACAAATGTACCTGTCAAATGGCTGGTTCAGTTGATTGCTTTTTACCAATTCTGTAGCATAAGGCATAACATATCTCTGTTGACAGTTTACAATTAATTATACATCTTATTCAGTTCCCGAAGCAGCACCAAATCTGAGACTTTCTAGTTCATCACCATCCAGTATAGATGTAGAATGGGATCCAGTTCCTCCTGAGAAATGTAATGGTGTTATCACAGGGTACCGGATTTATGTGTCAAATGGTGGACATGAAATCATGGAGAATGTGTCTGCTGCTAACCAGAGTTACACTATCAGAGGTATAAATATCATATCAATTGTTCTAATTTTAGAGATACTTCATGAGGGCTTGAATTTATTTTACCACAGGTTGGCCCTTTATGCTGCATATTTGATCATGAGCCATTCCATGTTTTGCTTACATTCATACATGTACGTCATCACTCAACGATGTCATTTACACCTTTTGTCGTGTAACTTTTTCATAAAAAGCATATGACATGGGAGTATGATTGGAACATCCCAAACAAGGCATGACCTTGCTTATCAGCAGACATACAATAATTTATATTTGTATTTTACCACGGTTGTGTACTCATAGTGTTTCAAGAACGCCATATAAGAATATAGCAATATACAATATATTCAAATAAATTTAAACTTTAAAAATTGAAAGATTGTCCAATTTTCACGTATTTTTGGAGATCCTTCCAATTAGCTACACCAAGTTGTACTTGGCAGTTTACATAAACATGCATTTTAATACAAAGTTTAAAAAAAAAAAAAGTAACTTTCCTTCCAAAATCACTCTGTTTCTACTTTATATTTAATAAAACAAAAATAATTCTGGAGAAATTATTGCAGGCAATTGCTGCTTTGTGCATCCATAGATCTGTGTTAAGGTTAAAGGTAAACAACACGTGTACATGAACTTTGACTCCATCTCCAGTTTGTAAGGAACATAGTAAAAATGGTTTGGACTTTAAGAGTATAAATTTCAAGCATACTTAAAACCAAAAAAGTTTCATGAAATTAAATAATTGGGAAAATTGACTTGTTTACCATGAGGGTTAGAAGGGTAATAAAAAACTGGTTTAATTACTACAATAATGTGTAAAATGTTCCCTATTGGAATTTCTGCACAAAGATAAATGCATTTTATTTGAATAAATTCCTTTGAAAAGTTTGTTGGTTTTCCAAACATTTCCTAGGAAAGGTAAGGATAAACAATTATATAGGAACTGAAAACGGAATCACTCGTAAAGAATATTTTCCCTTACAGAACTCCAACCAGACACTGAGTACAAAGTAAGAGTCTTAGCAGGAACAGCAGTGGGATATCCGAAGCTCTTAGATGCTCAGTGGCCCTGGCTGATACACAGAACACCAAAACATAATGAAAAACCACAAGGTAGGCCAATAAATTCTATTTATGAAAAATAATGTAGATCTATTTATTTTTCATGGATATCTAATTTCATGGTTTTGCCAAAAACTGCATTTATGTCAGTAGAAAATTTATACTCAGTAAAATATTTTAATACATGGAGTATACGTACCTTTACCAGCAAAATCCAAGAAAATTGGTATCCAATAAATTATAATGAACTGCAGTAGACAAATTTGTAGAAAAAAGATCAATTTCAAGATCATCTGTAGGAACTTTTGTGTTGTAAAATAACAATAACCATTATTTTAAGGATGTTCGCTCCTCTGTTTAAGAATAACAAGCTTTTTAAAAGACTGTTGTAAATTGATAGTATATAAATAACAGACCTTAAACAGTAGCATAAAGTGACAAGTCCGTGGTCTTTGTTTTTCGAGTTATAGTAGATTGAAAATTTGGCAGGAAATCATATTCTCTCTAGATTTTTTATAGGTTTAACATTGGCACCTTTTTTTCTTTCGAAAACTTAAAAAGAATAACAAGGATTTAATAAGATTTTCAAATTGACTTTTTAAACAAAATGCAATAGAATTGTGGAAAGAAAAAGAAGGAGTTAGCCATCAGAATTTTTTATTGGCACTTCATGGATAAAACTAGAGGATTCCGAATATCTGACAAAAAGTCAAAATCAAGAGTAGTGAACATCCTTAAATAGATGTTTTATGTTTTAAGAGTCTTTAAAGACCATGTTGAGTAATGGCAGTTATGATTCCAATAAGAATTGTATTTTCATGGATATTCAATTTCGTCTTGCCAAAGTCTGCATACAACCTTATGGGAAATTTGTAATTCGTTGAAAATTTAAATTAGTGGTTCCCCTTTGACCACGAAATGCACAAAAATTGGTATACAATGAATAATAATAATGAATCGTCGAACATTTAAATTTGAGGTTCACACACACACATACCCACAAAATCCATGAATCATGATGAATCCACAGTATGCTACGGAGTGATGCAATAAGTATTTGTAACTTACAATTTTCTGCTCTATATTTCGTAAAAAACTACCGTATTTCCAATAATTATTACGAGGTCATTTCTGGTTGGATTTAAATCAACTGTATATCAATGGAAGCAGAATTTTTTATTTGGTTATACTTTTGTTTTGAAGAGCTGTCATTTTCTGATGATATAGTTATGTTTGTTTTCTTTCAGTGAAAGTTCAAATTCAGGTTTCTCAGCTGAACCTGACGTGTGTTGATGTTAAATGGAACATAACAGACAATCAAGCTGCCATTGGTTATAAGATATACATCAGCAAGAAGATCCAAAGCGAAGATGCAAGAATTTTAGAAATTCCAAACATTAAAAAGACGAATCATATCATATGTGGTCTTGGTAAGAATTTTCTCTTACCATTAAGGTTAAGAAAAAAATGGTACGGTAAGATTTTATTTTAAATTGATGGCATTTTAGCCAGGATATTATTGATTTAGTTATTATGGATATAGCAACTAATTGAGATAATTGGAACCATTCATTCTTTTTAAAAATTTCTCTTATTCTTAGTTGGTATTCACTTGTGTATAGATGCCAACCAGTATGGTTACTCATTAATTGTGACAAATTTTGGGCTGAAATAAACTGGTCAATAATTAACTCGTAACAGATTTCCTTTCATAACCAGTCTGGAACAGTTCCTATTTTGGGCTGAAATAAAGGTTTTAGAGTCAATAATTAACTTGTATCAGATTCCTTTTCATAACCAGTCTGAAAAAGTTCCTATTTTGAGATACCGTTGCGATAATTTTGACGCTTGATTTGTTTGAATTACAAACTACTTTTAGGATTATCAGGATTCGTTACAGTAGAAAAAAATCTATTTATTTTATTGTTCAAATTCAAAACAGATACTGTAAACCTACTTATTTTTCGCGGATACTTTATTTCGTGTTTAGCCCTTATTAGCCTATTTCACGGCGTTTTGATTTCACGATTTGGCCTCGGTGGCTGAGTAGTCTAAGTAGTTGAACCACTGTATCACTAAGATTGTGAGTTCAAATCCTGCACGTGGCAGCTCGACTCCAATCTATGGATTGTCAGTTTTCCTGCAGAAGGTCCGTGGTTCTCTTAGGGTCCTCCACCAATAAAATCTGGCCTCCACGAAATAGCACAATAGTGTTGAAAGTGGCGTTAAACACCAATCAATCAGTCATGGAACGAAGGAAGCTAGTACAGCAAAGAAAAAGAGACAAGGATTTAGTCCCAAATATTGTATTGAGGTCCTGTCTTTAATGAGATAGGCCTCACTTGCTCTGACATCAATTTAGTTTCTAGTTGAAATAAATAAAGGAAATCATTGGTTCGTCAAATTGCATCTTGTTGTTAGTACATAATAGTGTATGATTATGCAAATTTTTTTGAAAAATTATGATAAATGAAAAAAATGGCCTATTAAGGATATCTCATTTTTTTGTCACTGACCAGAAAAGGGTTGGCATTTATGCTCATACACATCACAGCCTTTTAACTTTATCATGTTCATGGTGCAACACTTGAAAATATGTTTTTAAATATGTTTATATGCATGCTTTTTTTTTTTTTTTTTGTCTGCTTGAAATATTTTAACTCTTTTTATATAAGACATTTAGTAAATAATTCTATATATTTTGGATGACATCACATCATTTTGAGGCTTCATAAGGGTACACCATATTCCGTGTCACAATTTTATGACTAATTAATTAAGTGTCAGAAATTTCAGTTAATTAACTGAGGCTCAAACCAATTTCAAAATAATTTTGAAAGCATTTTTTAAAGTGCAAGTCAAAAATCAAACTAAAAGAATATATACTTCTGTTTGTCATAGCCAGTCTGTGACCTTTCTGGAGCCTCTTCCTATTCCTTCAGCAATATGTTTTGCTGCTATGTGCTAAGCTTTCATATTAGTGACACATTCAGATGAGGATTTTCAATGGGTGCAACCACTTAACTCTTGCAGAAAATCATTCTGAAAAACTTTTACTGTTCAGATTAAAACTAATATATCTATTTATGAAGCCAAGCTTTTTCATATCCAGGAATGTTCCAGTTAAACATACATTGTACCCAGGGAAGGCACTTTCAACGTGAGACAACCACTTGTAGAGGCAATTTTAGATTTCACTCAGCTGTGTTCCCTTCAATGGTTCCCATGTATGTTTTTATGGAATAGCCCGTAGCTTAATATATATACCGTATAGCAGGTTATTTTCGCGGGTGTAAAATTACGCTATTTCATTGAATAAGGTATACCAAATATTTTGGCGTATTCAAAACTTTTATACCATACCATTGCATGCACACTATTAAAATGGTGGAATTTATTTTGGCGATTTTGTTCTATCCGCGAAAATAAGCGGAAATTTACACTTTGCGAAAAATAACCAGCTATACGGTATAGCATTCTTTGAAAATATCCAATACCTTAAGGGGTTACACCCATATTCTGTAGGTTCAATACTTGGCATATTTAATTTATATGTTGCTTATTTTTTAGCTTGAGTCAATCCTATAACAAAATAGTCTGCTTTCAGATGCTGCTTTATAAGCTTTGTGTGTGTGTGCTTTGCATGGTGATTGACACGAGGTAATTACTGTACATCATAGAATCACTTCAGACTTCTCTGGCATCATTTTCAATAGGCCGAGTTTTGACTCAGGATTTTATAATTTTTCTACAGGTTATCTTCTCTGTGGTAGGACATCCTGGTACTTGGTCAAGTAAGAGCAACGTAAAGCAGGAAAATAAAGTTTCAATCGGTACAATTTTTAGGACAAAATTAACTGTCTTACGTTTTCTATACATGACGAAATCAAAATCATCAGAAAACAGTAAACTCCCCACCCCCCACCCCCCCAATTGCACCAATTGTATATTTGATTTTACTTCTTTTGGTTGCTCTTAGTTGACCGAGTACCAGGATGTCCTACCACAAATTAGGTAACATGTCAAAAAATTACATAAACCGAAGTCAAAAGTCTGTTATATAAAAATGGTCTATTGATGTAATTGAGTAAGAGTTATTTCCCTTTATCACCACCATCCAAATTCGATTTGTTTTACTGACCCCTAGACTTTAGAAATGTTGTTTTCTGAAAAATCCACCATTGTTTTAGTCTTGTTTAATTCATCACTATAATCTTAATAGACATGCTTGCACCACATATTTTAATTTGGCTAGTCAAGTTAGAAAAATCAGCCAGTTTGACCTCTAACATGGTGACCAAGGGAAATAAATCTTTAACTCAAATGCCATCATATTGAAAACTATCAATGTATTGAGAAACCAATCTTCATGGATTGAGGAAAAAATAGGTTTTTCTTCTGGATTCTTGGTTCAATGGTTTCAACAATTTCTTATCAAAGTTTGGACATTTTATTCCTTAGCTTGAACCGCTTAAAACAGAAACGTTCCTACAAGATTGGAAATGGACTGGAATTGTTTCTTCTAATTACAGAAAATAAAACTTTTTCAAACAGCATTGAAATAGGAGGATTGATGTGGTGGCCTGAAATTTTATTTCTTCGGATTTCCACATTATTATAGGTCACAAGTGTCATATTTACAAATCTTAAAGTGGATCTAGATCTCAGTTTTTAAGCTGGTGATTTTTTGTGGGTTATGTTTTACTTTATAATCTATGATATTTTCTAAGATTTTACAGTTTTTAATGTTTGAAATATTCTGACAATTAACATTCTACAGAATTGGTTTTAGAAAGGAATAAGCTAAATCCGATTGCCAGGTACCTATGGTAAACGATATAAAAATGAAGAGATGTGGTGATGATTCCCAATGAGATATCTATCCACCAGATACCAAAAGATGGGGATGTTTGAATCAATTTGTTTTATTTTTTTATTTTTTTTTCGAATGTTTATAGAAGTAATAGTGAAATGAGTTAGATGAGAATATTAAGTGGGAGATTTAAAGAATGAAAATGACACTTAATAAATTTCAAGTGTCGGAGCCAAATATTTGAAATCCAAGGATGTATATAAAAGAACCAATACAGTTGACGAGCTATATGACCAAAAAGGACCTAAAAAAAAAATTAGCCAAATCCTACCTACCTGTCAAAATATTTGTCTTTTGAGAGATTTCTATTTTTTGTCTGGACTGCGACAAAAGGCGAGACACACTGCTGTTTCTATTCTGGCATCGACATCGGCATCAAAAATTGTTAAGTTTTCTGCTTAAATCAGTTTGATAGGAACTGCTTGTAATAGATCAATGATATTTTCTATGAAGTTGCATTACTATCAGTACATCTCAATTTGTTGACCATTTCGAGGCCTTGCCCCCCCTCCCCCCCCCTCTAGTTTATTGTCCAATAATTTTGAATCAATAAGCAATGTTGCTGTCCATCAGATTGTCTTTTTCTAAATTTTCTGCCGACAGGCGACATATCTCTGTGTCAATAGATTTTCTTTTTTTTTTAAGTATAGAGATGTTCACACTATTACTTGGATAGTTGGCATTTACAGGTTTAATAAAAGAGTATAAAATCAATTTTTACAATCATCTTAAGTATCAAGTATTAAAGTAGAAGAAAGAAATAGTTGTTTCCATAGTTGATATAAATTCATTCTATTCCTAGGCACAATTACATAACATTTTGGTGATTAGTTTACTTTCAAATGTTAGTCCAATTGGGAGTATTAGGTTTTAACTACTTAAATACGAAATGATGTAAATATGACTACATGTATTAACTTTCATGACCATAAAGTTGACACATTTGTGTTTTAAATGATTTTATTATGAAAAGATTACATAATACTTTCCATGATTATGAGAATTGAACAAATTGTCTGTAGTAGTGATTTGATTTATATAGCATTTGATAAAAATCATGAAAATGGAAACTTGGGTGTTTAAATACTCCGCATGAATTTTTTTTTTTCCTACAGCTTGTTCAATTACCATATAAGAAATGTAATAGACAGTTTATCACTGAATAAGCTTTAATTTGCTTCTTTGCCTTTTTCTACAGAAAAAAACTTATCTTACTTATAGTAATTTTTGGGGCCCTTTATAGCTTGCTGTTCGGTGTGAGCCAAGGCTCCGTGTTGAAGACCGTACTTTGACCTATAATGGTTTACCTTTATAAATTTTGACTTGGATGGAGAGTTGTCTCATTGGCACTCATACCACATCTTCTTATGTCTAATTTTCAACTGTGGATTAATTTCATGATCATGGGTAGCAATTCAATTGGATTAATGTAAAAATTGTATGTGAAGTACTGCAATATTACAATGATTTATTTCTCGAAAGTGCTCTTGATAATTCTGCATTATCAAATTTCCTTACAAATTAACATTTCAGCCCCTGACCCTATTTTTTAGTGCAGATTTTATATTCAAAGTTATCCAAAATTTGGAAAAGTTAGAATTTTGTGTTTTTTTTTTTTATTAACAGACAATACTTCAACTGACAAATTTCAAAATTTTATTAGAACTGAGAGTGGATTCCACAATTTTTACAAATGTATCCCAGTTCTGCTAACTTTTAATAATGCAAATGCGTGAGATTTGGAAAAAATCGTAAAGATCAAAGAGAAAAAACAATAGATCAAAGGAAAATGCCGCCAAATAAGCATGAAAATGCGTGAGACTTGGCAGCCCTGGTATCCAGAGCGGAAACAGAACATGTTGTCAGCTTTGAAATAATGGTCTATGTTTATAACGTGTTTTTAGTCATAGTTCTACTTCAAAATTCTGTTAGTTTAAAAGATTTAGTTTCAGAATTGTTTATTTCTCCTTAAATTGACTTTTATATATATGTATATTATACCCCCACTTGATGAAACAGAGACTTTATAGTGATTTTGATGTGCTTGTTATTTCTGTCATCTGCACTCTGTGTAAGAACTCCTCTTTGAATTGAATCTTCTAGACGATCTATAGTATCTATTTCCATTAGGCAGTTCAGATTTGTTCATTATGATAATGTCTGGATTTTGCCATAGAAAACCAAATTTTATTTGTTAAACTGACCACAAGATTTAATTAAAAGTTATTTTCTGAACAATTTTAATTTGTGAAAGCCTGGTTGTATAATTCATCACTTCAATCTAGTTAGGATTTTTAGCTGACTTGCTGATACCATGTTTTAATTTTGTAAGTCAACTAAGAAACCAAACTAGTTATAGTTATCCCCCCCCCCCACCCCCCCCCAAAAAAAACCCATGGCAACCAGGGAAATAACTCCAAATTACAAATAAATGTTATTATACCCCATGCAACGAGTTGCGGAGGGTATAATGTTTTTGACCCGTCAGTCCGTCTGTCAGTCCGTCCGTCCGTCAGTCCGTCCATCCGTCTGTCCGTCAGTCCGTCCTTCCGTCCGTCCGTCCGTCCGTCAGTCAGTCCGTCCGTCCGTCAGTCCTGTTTGTCCGTCCGTCCGTCCGTCAGTCCTGTTTCTTGTCATCGCAACTCCTCTCAAACCACACAACAGAATTTCACGAAACCTTTTTAGATAAAAAGGACATATTATGTAGTTGTGCATATCGACAGGAAATTACGATTCAATTTTTTTTCTAGGAGTTACGCCCCTTTGAACTTATTTGCTTCAATGTACTACTGCAACAGTTTGTCATCGTAACTCCTCTGAAACCACACAACAGAATTTCATGAAACCTTTTAAGATAATAAGGTCATACTATGTAGATGTGCATGTCGACAGGAAATTACGATTCAATATTTTTTTTAGGGGTTACACCCCTTTGAACTTATTTGCTTTAAGGTACAACTTCAACAGTTTGTCATCTCCACTTCTCTGAAACCACACAACAGAAATTCATGAAACTTTGTAGATAATAAGAACATACTACTTAGATGTGCATATCGACAGGAAATTAAAATTCATTTTTTTTTCTAGGAGTTACGCCCCTTTGAACTTATTTGCTTCAATGTACTTCTGCAACAGTTTGTTATCTCCACTCTTCTGAAACCACACAACAGAATTTCATGAAATTTTGTAGATAAGCTGTAGATGTGCATATTGACAGGAAATTATTATTCAATATTTTTTCTTATACAATTTTTTTTTGTTACACTTATTTAATTTCTCCAATGACAATGTGGGGACGTGGGGTATGTGAGCGTGCTCACTAAGGTTCTTTAATTTTGAAAAGTATATCTGTTGATATTGCCATATATACAAATCTTGTTTTTATATTTTTTGCCAAACCATTAACTTGATCTCAATATCACCGTCATAGATAATCTCTCTCACAATAATGTACATGCTGAAGATATAAATTTGTATGGTATTGAAAAAAATATTTTGGTTTTTTATAAAGTTTTAAAAAAATTGTCTGTCCTAGATTGTTTATGTATTAAGTTGAGAAAATTGTCTGTTTAGAGAAAAAAAAATCCATGCCCCGCCACAAAAAGATGGATGGTCAGTGCCTAAAATAATTATTGATCAGAAATTTAATCTCGTATAAATTTTCCTTTTTCCAGAAAGTGAGGAGTTCTACGAGCTTATGTTTGTGGTGGATGGTTCTAGTAATGCGCTGGCTACAGTGGAGGAGATTTTCCAGACAGTTCCACCCAATGAAACTCCACTTCCACCACCTCCGCTGCAGATTATGGCTAGAACGATGTCTTCCAATGAGATATTGGTTAGGTGGAAGAGACCTGGACGTCAGTATGACATTCGATTTTACACGGTTCAGTTCCACCGGAAGGATAATTCACAGAAGATTATGTATGCTAGAAGGTAATATCTGCAAGGAGGTTGACACTAGGGGTTCAAATAAGTGTGGGTCAAAGGTTGCATACCTGTCTTGTAATAGGGGACTTTTTGATATTTGAATTACAAAAGTCAAAGACTTCCCAGTTAATATACTGATGCTTTATATAAGAACTTTGAATTTTTTTAGGAGGACCTTTCAGTTGAAAATTCAATTGATCATAATAATTTAAAGCAAATTTGAATCCTGGATCTAGGTTAACATGTTTATGGGACATTTTTCTAAAAAAAATCACTGGAACGTTTATTTTAACCATACTTCCATGCTCCTATGTAATAGATTATTTTAATTATATTTCACATGTTTGAGGGTTTGAAGGACGTTATTCAGGATTTAACCATTATTCACAGGAATTCAGTAATAGCCAGTTAAATCATGGTGAATTTCTGGAGTACAGGATTAATTATATCCTGAGTTGGGACCTATTATTTTTTACTGGAATACAGGATTAGGCATTTATTTGGGACGAGACCCCCTCCTACCCCCTTCATGTATGCTTGAAAAGAATTGATGAAATCGTCAATTACAAGCTCATTACTAAGTTTTATGACAAAATGTTCTGAAACTTATACACAGTGTTTTTGTCGAGCCTTCGACTTTAGTCGAAAAAGCGAGACATAGCGATCCTACATTCCGTCGACGTCGTCGGCGGCGTCCACAAATATTCACTCTGTGGTTAAAGTTTTTGAAATTTTAATAACTTTCTTAAACTATCCTGGATTTCTACCAAACTTGGACAGAAGCTTGTTTATGATCATAAGATAGTATCCAGAAGTTAATTTTGTAAAAATAAAATTCCATTTTTTCCATATTTTACTTACAAATGGACTTAGTTTTTCTGCCGGGAAATATTACATTCACTCTGTGGTTAAAGTTTTTAAAATTTTAATAACTTTCTAAAACTGTCCTGGGTTTGTACCAAACTTGGACAGAAGCTTGTTTATGATCATAAGATAGTATCTAGAAGTAAATTTTGTAAAAAAATAAATCCATTTTTTCCTTATTTTACTTTTAAATGGACTTAGATTTTCTGCCAGGAAACAACACATTCACTCTGTGGTTAAAGTTTTTAAAATTTTAATAACTTTCTTATACTATTTTGGATTTGTACAAAACTTGGACAGAAGCTTGTTTATGATCAAAAGCTAGTATCTAGAAGGAAATTTTGTAAAAAAATAAATCTATTTTTTCTGTATTTTTCTTTAAAATGGACTTAGATTTTCTGCCGGGAAACAACATATTCACTCTGTGGTTAAAGTTTTTAAAATTTTAATAACTTTCTTATACTATTTTGGATTTGTACCAAACTTAGACAGAAGCTTGTTTATGATCAAATGCTAGTATCTAGAAGGAAATTTTGTTTTCTTCCAGTTAACATTACATTCAGTCTGTAGTTAAAGTTTTTAAACATTTATTAGATTCATAAACTATCCTGGATTTTTACCAAACTTGGACAGAAGCTTCTTACAATCAAAAGATAGTATCAAGAGGAATATTTTTATTGATTTACTTCCTCATTTTTGTTGAGCCTGCGATTAACAGAAAAAGTAGGCGAGACACTGGGTTCCGCGGAACTCTTACAAATTTTTTACCGCAAAACACAGATTAAGTTTGAATTTGGGTGGTGTCACTTTTACCTGTCTAGAGTTATGCCCCTTTACAAATGTTATGAAACTTATACACAATGCTTATTACCACAAAACTCTGATGAAGTACGAATTTGGGCAGCATCTTTTTCATTGTTCTTGAGTTATGTTCCTTTATAATTTTATATCCAAGTAGGGCATCATCAGTGTCCATGGGACACATTCCCCATTTATTAAGAGTTATTTCCCTTTATTCAGGCCTACTCCATAAAGTATGGTACTGTTATCACAATTGATTTATCAATCAGCAGAGCTTGATTAGACCCCCTTTTTTTGCAGCATTGAAACCTTATATTGAGTTGTCTGTTTAGATATATTTCTGAAGAAGATCTTAGGATACTAGATTGATTGTTGTTTGCCTTATGTCCAGTGACAAATATTTCATGCATGTTCAGGACAAACTTGGGCATAACTATTTAAGTGTTTTTATTTCATGCATGAAAGAAGTCTCTGTTCATTAGGTTAACTATGAATTCTTAATTAGCTAATTTACATATAGAAACAAACAGATTGGAAGATCCTTAAGCAAACAAACTATAAGATCAGCTCGGATATGTTAAACAACTTACTACAAAATCAATTTGAATTTATTCTCTTTATTGTCTCGCCTAACAGAAAAAGTGTAGCCATATCTAGTGATCACTTCTGTCATCCTGTCACACTTTTGGTTAATCCTCAGCTTCTTACAAATGGGTTGATAGAATTCAACCAAACTTGCACAGGTTTCTACTAACATGAGCAACACGTGACACATGTGGAGAAGGATGTGCTCATGCTATTTGAATTTTTTATCAGTGGTATATTTGGGAATTCCAATACCAAAACGTAGAGTTATCCAATTTTTGCTCATATAATTTTCAGATGGCAGGTGACGCACATCTTCTATAAAAGACTCTCACATTTATATCTCAATTTTTTTTTCCAGTGATACATTTATGTACGAGTTGAAGAATCTTAAATCTTATATTTATATATATGATTTTTATATTGTTTTACCCCTGTCCGTCCATCTTTCTGTCTGTCTTTCCATCTGTCCGTCCCTCCCATTATTGGTATATAGTTATTCCAGATAACTCCTCCTACAGTTTGAATGCTAGGAAGTTTTCACTTTGCTAGCTGTTTGTACATATATTGAAGGTGTGCATGTGGTCAGGGTTTTGATTTGTATTGATATTTGCTCTTTTGGGAGATAGTTGAACTTTGTCATTTTTGGAGTATATACTTGCATAAGAGGTGCATAGTGTTTCCGGATAATCCTCCTACTGTGAACCAAAGACCTACTGTGGATTCATTTATTTCCGTGGGTACCAATTTTCGTGGATTAAGGAAAACTTGCATGTTTGTTGATGTTTAATTTCGTGGTTTTGCCAAGGTGTGCATACAATCCTATAGAAAATTTGTTATTCGTTGAACATTTAATTTCGTGGTTCACCTGTACCCACGAAATCCACGAAAATTAGTATCCAACGAATAATATTGAATCCACAGTATGTGCTTTCATGCTCAGCTTTGTGTATTTTAAAATAACACTTTGCATCTGCAGGGGCATAACTTGTGTCTCCCAGACACAATAATATCTCAAAGAAAGTCCTACATTGGCTTTGTCATAATACAGTTACTTCAGAGTGGAGTGCGGGGGCATCACTTTGTCTAGTTTATTAAAGTGATACATTAGAGTATTTTTTTTCTATAACAGTGATGCATTAGAGTATTTGAAAAATCTTGAACCTCATAATTATAATATTTTTTATTACAGTGATGCATTGGAGTATGAGCTGAAGAATCTTGAACCTTATACTTACTACAGTATCAGAGTGAGATCCCACACATCACATGACCATGGAATCTTCAGTGATCCTGTTGTTGTTAGAACTCTGGAAGACGGTATATATAGTAAACAAAAATAGGATTTTCTAATTTATTAATTTTTCTTCTGTCAAAAGCAGGGTCAGCTTGGCTAAAAAAAATTTGTTTGAAGTTTCCATTTACCTAATGTGAAAGTCCTATAGAAAGGAAGATAGAAAACCTTCAAAGACATTGACAAAACATGAAACTGGTAAAAATGTAAATACTGGTTTACTTTCATGCTCATTTGATTTTCAGATCAATTTTGTGAAAATGATTCAAATTAAAGTACAGATATAATACAAAAATGATACATGAAAATTTGAAAAAAAGTTTGAAATGGCTTTATTTTTCAATATTATCAATGCACAAGGATTTGAATACAAAGAAAGAAATCAGCAATACGTACTAGGTTGAATGCACAAAATACAGCAACATAAGGTAACTCTTGATCTTGGATGACTTGAACTTCAAATCTATGGGTCAAATATTTATGTTGGGTTCAATTAATTTTGGCATATCATGTTATGTTATGCTATACTTCTGTGTGTGAAAGCCTTATGAACTTAATTTTTTTTTCTCCTAGTGCCCTCTCCGCCAGAGAAATTGTACATAGAGCGTGTAGGTGAAGACAAGGTTAATCTACAATGGGATCCTCCATCTAAACAGAATGGTGTTATAACCTCCTACGTCATACAGTACAACAAACAGAGAGAGGACCCTGAAGACTTGTGGCATTCTCTTGAGAAAAATGGTAGGAAAAAGTATTAATTGAAATAAATCTACAAAAGAAAAGGCATTTTCTTTTTCATTAAGTAGATTCACTAGATACTGTAAATTCAGAAATTATTGCATATATTTATTAATGTGATTTTTGAAAAATGGATAAAAATGCGAGATTAATTATTGAGATTCCATGAAAAACCGCATACAGATATATGTATCAGATATCATAATGCGAGTCCTTATTATTGCGACACTCGCCCAGTCGCATTATTCGCATTAATAAAAACCTCGCAATAATTTCTGAATTTACAGTACTGTAAATTTGCAGATTAGCCCTTTCACAGTGAGGTTAGGTTAAAGGGCTAGGGCTAGGTATGGGTAAGATTTAGGGTTAGAATTTAACATAGCCTTGTAAGGATTGCATTTCCTAAAGTACACAAAGGCCAATAAATCACTCTCGAAAATAAGATGGTTCACAGTAATAAAAAATTCCATGACCACATATATACATCTCATTATCTGTTAATTTCATAGTGATACAACATTCAGCCCTTGGCATCATCAATATTTAGATGCAGCCAGTGGTTAAAGTCTATTTAGACATCAATAACTTTGTCAAACCATGACTTATCTTGAGTAAAAGTCACTTGCCTCTTTATGTCAAACTTTGATTACCCATGCAAATTACAACCAACTAAAATTTGAATCATTTTGAACAGGTACAATGACTAAAGCGACCATTAATGGTATAAGTAACAAGGTTAATTACTACTTCAAAGTCAGAGCTTGTACCAACAAAGGTGAAAGTCACCCATCAAGGACAGTGGAGCTCAAAGCCTGGATTTGTACTTTAAAGTGTGACCAAGCCGGGCACCCCAGCCCAGGAGAAAATGAAGGTTTGTTTTTATGCCCCGCTGTAGCGGTGGGGGCATTAAGTTTTACCCTTGTCCGTCTGTTCCTTCATACGTACGTCCATACGTCCCGAAATTGGTTTCCATTCTCTAACTTGAGTTTGCCTCAATCAAATGTTATGAAACTTATACACAATGCTTATTACCACAAAACACATATCAAGTTTGAATTTTGGTGGAGTCACTTTAACCGTTCTAGAGTTATGCTCCTTTATAAATGGAAAAATTGCAAAATTTTTAGTTTCCGTTCTCTAACTTAAGTTTGCCTCAACCAAATGTTATGAAACTTATACACAATGCTTATTACTACAAAACACAGATCAAGTTTGAATTTTGGTGGCGTCACTTTAACCGTTCTTGTGTTATGCCCCTTTATAAATGGAAAAATTGCAAAATTTTTATTTTCTTGTAAATATCAAGTAATTTATATTAAAATTGGAGTTATCTTCCTTTGTCCATGATTATAGTTGAATCAACTACAATCAATGCTTTATACAATGCAATGTTTAATTTTGACTTCCACTGATAAAACACAGATCAAGTTGAATTTGGATAGTGTCACTTTAACCATTATTGAGTTATGCCCCTTTATAATTCGAAAGATTGCAAAATTTTTAGTTTCCATTCTGTAACTTAAGTTTGCCCCAACCAAACATTATGAAACCTATACACAATATTCATTACCACAAAACTAAGATCAAGTACAAATTTTTTGTTTCCGTTTTCTAACTTTAGTTTGCCTCAACCAAATGTTATGAAACTTATACACAATGCTTATTACTACATAATACAGATTAAGTACGAAATAAGGTGGCGACACTTTTACCATTCTTGAGTTATGTCCCTTTATAAACAAAAATTGCTGAGTTTTTTAGTTTGTTTCAACCAAATGTTATAAAACTTATACACAACCGTTGTAGAGATTTGCGTGTTTACAAATAGAAAAATTGCTGAATTTTTAGTTTCTGTTCTCTACTTAAGTTAGCCTAAACCAAATGTTATGAGACTTACATACAATGCTTATTACCACAAAACTCAGATCAAGTTCAAATTTGGGTAGCGTCACTTTAACCGTTCTTCAGTTATGTCCCTTAATAACTATATGATATGCAAGCGGGGGCATCATCTGTGTCCACATGTGGACACTATCCACATTTATTTTATTTTGGTTACCACAAAACTCTTTAATTTGTAATACAGTATTAACATATGGGGTCTTGACAGTCTGGATTAGGATACTGAAAGTTTGTACTGCTCTTTACTATTAACACAGTGTGTACACAGAAATATTTAACCTGGGTATTAAGCCTTGATATTTTACCTTGATATTAAACCTTGATAATTAACCTTGGTATTTAACCTTGATATTATTATCTTGGTATTAAACCTTGGTATTAACCTTGATATTTAACCTTGATATTTAACCTTGGTATTAAACCTTGGTATTAAACCTTGGTATTAACCTTGATATTTAACCTTGGTATTGAACCATGATATTTGACCTTGATATTCACAGAGCAGATCTGGTTAATTTTGTCATTTCCCCATGTCCATGTAAGGAGAGACTACAGAGTGGTCACTTTTGCCCACCTGATGGACTGGACATTCCTTACTTTTCTTTCATCATAAGATTTGAACATTCGTTAAATACCTTGTAATAAACAAGTTAAGTTTCTGTTTTCAACATTTTGACAAATTCCAAAATTAAATTGGATTCAGGGCTGCGTCCACAGTGGGCAGGAAAAATGATGGAATAATTTCAGAGATGTTATTATTTATAATTTACAGATGATGGTGGTATTTTGAAGGACCAGAGACTTGGTATAATTATAGGCTGTTCCATAGGACTCAGTAGTATCGTCATCTGTATTGTTGTTGTAATTGTAAGACAAAGGTAGGTAACTCTGTGTTGTAATTGTTAGACAAAGGTAGGTAACTCTGTGTTGTAATTGTTAGACAAAGGTAGGTAACTCTGTGTTGTAATTGTTAGACAAAGGTAGGTAACTCTGTGTTGTAATTGTTAGACAATTTAGGTAACTGTATTTATGTTAGACAAAGATGGGTAACTATGTGTCTACTTTTCTGCAAAAATATTGACACTGTAAAAATCATGGGTGCTTTGATTATTGTGCAGTATATATGAAATGTGGCGAATGAACTTTTATGTAAATAACAATATGACAGCAACTTGAGAACGAATTAAAATGAAGAAACCCCTTAAAGGTCAACGGTCTTATAATATGACAGACAAGTGTCCATACCTTAGGAGAATTTAAGACACTCAAAATAGCTTGGGGTAGGCCAACTGCGTGAATTGTATACAATCTATGCTTTAAATGCTCTCTAATGTTTATGATTTTGTGCTTGAATACATGATGATTGTAATTTTTCATGGAATTTTTTGAGGATTATAATTGTAATTAGTCCCCTACTGACGAAGTCGAAGGGGACTTTAGGTTTGCACTCTGTCTGTCTGTCTGTCCATCCATCAGTCCAGCAAATCAGTTTTCAACACTTTTTAGCTCACCTGGCCCAAAGGGCCAAGTGAGCTTTTCTCATCACTTGGCGTCCGTCGTCCGTCGTAGTCGTCGTCGTTAGCTTTTTACAAAAATCTTCTCCTCTGAAACCACTGGGCCAAATTTAACCAAACTTGGCCACAATCATCATTAGGGTATCTAGTTTTAAAAATGTGTCCGATGACCCCGCCAACCTACCAAGATGGCCGCAATGGCTAAAAATAGAACATAGGGGTAAAATGTAGATTTTGGCTTATATCTCTGAAACCAAAGCATTTAGAGTAAATCTGACATAGGGTAAAACTGATTATCAGGTCAAGATTTATCTGCCCTTGAAATTTTCAGACAAATCTGACAACCTGTTGTTGGGTTGCTGCCCCTGAATCGGTAATTTTAAGGAAATTTTGCAGTTTTTGGTTATTATCTTGAATATTATTATAGATAGAGATAAACTGTAAACAGCAATAACGTTCAGCAAAGTAAGATCTACAAATAAGTTGTCATCACCAAAATTATCAGTCGACCCCTTTAGGAGTTATTGCCCTTTATAGTCAATTTTTAACAATTTTTCGTAAATTTTTGTTATCTTCTACAAAAATCTTCTTCTCTGAAACTACTGAGACAAATTTAACCATACTTGGCCATAATCATCATTAGGGTATCTAGTTTAAAAAATTTGTCCGACGACCCCGCCTTCCAACCATCATGGCTGACTTGGTTAAAAATAGAACATAGGGGTAAAATGCAGTTTTTGGTTTATATCTCTGAAACTAAAGCATTTAGAGCAAATCTTACAGGTGACAAAAATGTGCATCAATTTGAGATTTATCTGCCTTGAAATTTTCAGACGAATCCGACAACCCGTTGTTAGTTTGCTGCCCTGAGTTAGTAATTTTACAGAAATTTTGCAGTTTTTTGTTATTAGATATTATAATGATATTTAAGATAATATCTAATACTATTAATTATGATTTTAACCTTATTTTACATGATTTCCAAAGCATCAGTAAATACAGGTGAGCGACACAGGCTCTTGATAGCCTCTAGTTTTCTTAGTGCTTGAAGATATTGATTTGAAATTTGGTATATAGTTTTATCATGACAAGTCACAGATCAAGTACGAATTTTGTTCCGGTCTGATGATTTTGTGCAGAGTTATGGTCCTTGGACTTAGAAAATTCACTCAAATACTCAGTCTTCCACACTTTTTTTCATCATGCTTGAAGATATTGACTTGATATTTGTTATATAGTTTACACCATGACAAGTTATCGATCAAGTTAGCATTTTGTTCCAGTACAATGAATTCTTAACTGGTAGAGGACTATGTATTGCCATGCAATACTCTCAGAATGCTTGTTTTATACTGAAACCTTGAATTTTTCTAAATATTAGTACTCCATAATCATAAAACTCACATCATCAGATGAGTTGATATTGGTGAAGGCAACATTATATTATACGGAGGGAAACAATTTCAGTCTCAAATTTTGATTAATGAATGAATGTCTTTTTTAAAGTGAGGGTGAAGACTATACTGTTGTATTTTCAATTTATTTCTAACCAAAAAACTGTACATCTTTGAAACTCTAGATCAAGTAGGTGAATGAATTCAGCCAAGACGGTTAATACCAATTATCTGCCTTCAGGTCCATTTTACCTGTCAGAAATTCTGACTTCACTCATGGTTTTCTTTTGGGTCATTTTATCTCATTTTTTGTGTAAAATGCTTTTATTTACTATTATTGGTTTTCTTGTCTTTTTTGTTTTTTTGGGAGGGGAAGCACAATGTTGTTGTTCCTCTCAACTTATTGCTTTTTAATGTGTCTAAGGTATTATCATATTTTTCTTTCTGACCCATTGCATGCTTTTATTACAGGCATTATGCTAGAATGTATATGGCCCAACAAGGAGTCAATGGTAACCTTGGTGATAGAAATGTTGGGCATTACCTCAGCAACCATAATGGGAGATCCTCTTATCAAATGGTTGATGAAGATTCACGACTGCCAATGATACAAGAAAATGCACTGTCAGATACTAAGGTAAGTGCCTATTATTACATTCACTATGAAGGAAGCTAGGGAACTTTTTATACGACCGCAAAAAAATTTTTGTGGTCGTATATTGGTATGAAGTTGGCGTCGTCGTCGTAGTCGTCGTCCGGCATGGTCGTCCGAAGACGCATTAGTTTTCGCACTCTAACTTTAGTTTAAGTGAATGGATCTCTATGAAATTTTACCATAAGGTTCAATACCACAAAAGGAAGGTGGGGATTGATTTTGGGGGTTATGGTACCAACAGTTAAGGAATTAGGGGCCAAAAAGGGGCCAAAAATAAGCATTTTCTAGTTTCCAGACAATAACTGTGGAACGGTGTATGGATCTCTCTGAAATTATACAACAAGTTTCCATACCACAAAGGGATGGTTAGGATTTGCTTTGGGGGGTTATTGCTCAAACCGTTTAAGAATTAGGGGCAAAAAAGGGGGAAAAACAAGGTTGTCCTCATTAATGGACAAATACTTTAGTACAAAACATAATTTAAAGCAGTGTAAGGGAGATAAATCAAATACATCATTGAAATTATCTCCCTTACACTGCTTTTAAATTATGTATAAAGAAATGGTTAATGAACAATTAAGATAATTTAAAACAGTGTAAGGGAGGTAATCCAAATACAACGTTTTGGTTACTTCCCTTACACTGCTTTTAAATTATGATTAAAGAAATGCATATTTATAAAGGAAGACCAGTATGGCGCATTAGATTTGTAAAATCTTTGACCACATTTATTTATTTGTTATGACGAATCTAACCGTGTATTTAGATTTTTAATTTTGGGTCCAGTTTTCAAATTGGTCTACATTAAGGTCCAAAGGGTCCAAAATTAAACTTTGTTTGATTTTAACAAAAATTGAATATATGGGGTTCTTTGATATGCTAAATCTAAACATGTATTTAGATTTTAGATTTTTGGCCCAGTTTTCAAGTTGGTCCAAATTGGGGTCCAAAATTAAACTTTGTTTGATTTCAACAAAAATTGAATATATGGGGTTCTTTGATATGCTGAATCTTACCATGTATTTAGATTTTTGATTTGTGGGCCCGCTATCAAATTGGTTCATATTGAGGTCAAAAGGGTCCAAAATTAAACTTTGTTTGATTTCATCAAAAATTGAATTATTGGGGTTCTTTGATATGCCAAATCTAACCGTGTATTTAGATTTTTAATTTTGGGTCCCGTTTTTTAAATTGGTCTACATTGAGGTCCAAAGGGTCCAAAATTAAACTTAGTTTGATTTTAACAAAAATTGAATTCTTGGGGTTCTTTGATATGCTGAATCTAAACATGTGTTTAGATTTTTGATTATGGGCCCAGTTTTCAAGTTGGTCCAAGTTGGGGTCCAAAATTAAACTTTGTTTGATTTCAACAAAAATTGAATATATGGGGTTCTTTGATATGCTGAATCTAACCATGTATTTTGATTTTGGACATTGGACCATAATAGGTAAATTAAAAAAATTGAAGTTCTTAGACCACATTCTTTCTGTGTCAGAAACCTATGCTGTGTCAAATATTTAATCACAATCCAAATTCTGAGCTGTATCAAGCTTGAATGTTGTGTCCATACTTGCCCCAACTGTTCAGGGTTCGACCTCTGCGGTCGTATCAAGCTGCGCCCAGCGAAGCATTTTATTGGTTATTATATGGAAAACTCTTAAAAAAATGAAAATGATATTAAAATAAGAAGATGTGGTATGATTGCCAATGAGACAACTTTCCACCAGAGACCAAATGACGAGGTTAACAATGAGCAAAATCCATAGCAAACAGTATAATTTGTTATGAGAAGCGCTATTCAAGATTTATCTACATCAGGAATGCTCATACCCCACAAAATGAAAGCTAATTAGGGTGTATACTGTAAATTCAGAAATTATTGTGATAAAATTGAGAATGGAAATGGGGAATGTGTCAAAGAGACAACAACCCGACCATAGAACAGACAACAGCAGAAGGTCACCAACAGGTCTTCAATGCAGCGAGAAATTCCCGCACCCGGAGGCGTCCTTCAGCTGGCCCCTAAACAAATATATATACTAGTTCAGTGATAATGAACGCCATACTAAACTCCAAATTGTACACAAGAAACTAAAATTAAAAATAATAAAAGACTGACAAAGGCTAGAGGCTCCTGACTTGGGACAGGCGCAAAAATGCGGCGGGGTTAAACATGTTTATGAGATCTCAACCCTCCCCCTATACCTCTAGCCAATGTAGAAAAGTAAACGCATAACAATACGCACATTAAAATTCAGTTCAAGAGAAGTCCGAGTCTGATGTCAGAAGATATAACCAAAGAAAATAAACAAAATGACAATAATACATAAATAGCAACAGATTACTAGCAGTTAACTGACATGCCAGCTCCAGACTTCAATTAAACTGATTGAAAGATTATGTCTTCATCATATGAATATCAGGCACAATCCTTCCCGTTAGGGGTTTAGTATCATACCATCATAACATACATGAGAAGAACATAACCCGTGTCATGCCAACAACTGGTTTTTAAATAAATGTGTTTAGTGCCGATGCAAAGACCCTATAAGTGAATCAATATTAACGCCAAAATATGCAATCTTTAATGACTTGACAACAGTATCGTAACTATATCCTGAGGATTTTATCAATGCAAAAAATGCGACCGGGTTAGGATCCAAATAATAAGAAGTCACATTTTGATAACTGATACATATATCTTTATGCAAGTTTTTCTGAAATGGCAATAATAAATTTTGTATTTTTGTCCATTACTCAAAAATCACAATAATAAATGTACTTAATAATTTCTGAATTTACAGTTACTACCAAAAACACTTGAAGAGTCATATGATCAAAAGGCTCTTTAAAGAATAACATTATAACAGATAGAGAGAAAGTGAAAACAGAAAAAGTTCTCAGCAATACAAGATCAACAAAAAAGATATCTTAGTCATGAATTATATTTTAGTCTTTAATGTTGAAAATTAACATACTCTGGATTTATTATTATTCATGGGACACTAATTTTATGAGTAAATGTGAACCATGAATTTAAATGTTCAACGAAGTATACATGTTTTATAGGCTTGTATGCAGACTTCGGCAAAACCATGAAATTAAAAATCCCAGAAAATACAAAGTTCCCTCAATCCACAAAAATTTGTACCCACAAAAATAAATGAATTGACAGTGGATCTGGGTGAGAGACTCAAGAGCCTCTAGTTAGGGTCAATACATCTTTGTAAATGAGTAAACATGTATAAGGCCCTAATATAGGTTTGTAAATGAGTAAATATAAAGAAGGCCCTGATATAGGTTTGTAAATGAGTAAATATATAGAAGGCCCTAGTATAGGTTTGTAAATGAGTAAACATATAGAAGGCCCTAGTATAGGTTTGTAAATGAGTAAACATATAGAAGGCCCTGATATAGGTTTGTAAATGAGTAAATATATAGAAGGCCCTAATATAGGTTTGTAAATGAGTAAACATATAGAAGGCCCTGATATAGGTTTGTAAATGAGTAAACATATAGAAGGCCCTAATATAGGTTTGTAAATGAGTAAACATATAGAAGGCCCTAATATAGGTTTGTAAATGAGTAAACATATAGAAGGCCCTGATATAGGTTTGTAAATGAGTAAACATATAGAAGGCCCTGATATAGGTTTGTAGATATAGGTTTGTAAATGAGTAAACATATAGAAGGCCCTAATATAGGTTTGTAAATGAGTAAACATATAGAAGGCCCTAGTATAGGTTTGTAAATGAGTAAACATATAGAAGGCCCTGATATAGGTTTGTAAATGAGTAAACATATAGAAGGTCCTAGTATAGGATCGTAAATGAGTAAACATATAGAAGGCCCTGATATAGGTTTGTAAATGAGTATAGAAGGCCCTGATATAGGTTTGTAAATGAGTAAACATATAGAAGGCCCTGATATAGGTTTGTAAATGAGTAAACATATAGAAGGCCCTGATATAGGTTTGTAAATGAGTAAACATATATAAGGCCCTGATATAGGTTTGTATTTGAGTAAACATATATATATATAAGGCCCTAATATAGGTTTGTAAATGAGTAAATATATATAAGGCCCTGATATAGGTTTGTAAATGAGTAAATATATATAAGGCCATGATATAGGTTTGTAAATGAGTAAATATATATAAGGCCCTGATATAGGTTTGTAAATGAGTAAACATATAGAAGGCCCTGATATAGGTTTGTAAATGAGTAAACAAAGGACCTAATATAGATTTGTAAATGAGTAAACATATAGAAGGCCCTAATATAGGTTTGTAAATGAGTAAACATATAGAAGGCCCTGATATAGGTTTGTAAATGAGTAAACATATAGAAGGCCCTGATATAGGTTTGTAAATGAGTAAACAAAGGACCTAATATAGGTTTGTAAATGAGTAAACATATAGAAGGCCCTAATATAGGTTTGTAAATGAGTAAACATATATAAGGCCCTGATATAGGTTTGTAAATGAGTAAATATATATAAGGCCCTAATATAGGTTTGTAAATGAGTAAACATATATAAGGCCCTGATATAGGTTTGTAAATGAGTAAACATATAGAAGGCCCTAATATAGGTTTGTAAATGAGTGAATAAATGTATTTTTAGGGTCCTGATGATACAGTGAGATTCCCAGGTAATGGTCGAGTGATCTACCTTTGTAATGGGAAACAGCCTAATGGTAAAATCAGAGCTTATGTTGCTAGTCCTATTAATGGACAGGTGAGTGGTAGATATATAAACACATATCTACATCAAAAGGTATGTGTTTAGGGGTTTCCCGTCCTACCCAACCAGTAATTTTGATCGCTGACATGTTAAAGTTTGTGCTTCAAGGTACAGCCTTCAACCATGAGCAAAACCTGTACTGTATTGTCAGCTATGAAAGTTCCTGACATGACAAATATGAAACAATTCAATTGAGGAAACAATATGTCAAACAGCAACCAAAGACAACCACTGAATTGCACTGCCACAGGATATATATAAAAAATATTTAAAAATATCTATAGCAGATTTTTTTCTTGGCAAATACCCATTTATCTGTAACTGTACACTATGCAAATTAATCAAAGAGTTCTTGACCTATAAAATGTTAGATAAAAGAAAAATCATTAAAGTTAAAATTTGAAACCAATTACTTTTACATTAGATTTAGAAGCATATATTATTACTATAGGTCACCTAAACGATTTAATACATGTATATGAATGAAAGGAGACATGGGGTATACATTAATTTAACAGCAACCTAACAACACAAAAGAAAAATAATTTACAGCTATAGGCAAACCAACTCACAATCTTAACAATAGTCAGGTGTCTTTACAATAGGTAAATCACAAGGTCCATAAATTTTTGTATTTTGAAGGTAGGCGAACACACAGCACTGATAGCATCAAAAAGTTCACAGCAGGTGTCTGATAATTCTCATCAAGATTCTTACATTACTCATAGCCAGTCGGACGGGAATGTCCCAACGTTACCTCATAAAAACTCTGAAAGAGGCTATAAGTACGAGGACCGAAAATCATCAGGAAATTCAAATGATATTGATAACGCTACCTCTAAAGTGCTACCATCATGTGAGAATTCTCAGGCTAATGGTGCTCCTCATGGACAAATCGCGGGTAGTCATGGTAACCATGACATTGAAGACAGTGGAGATTTAATCTCTAAAATGTTACAAGCTACAACCTCAGTTACAGACTGCTCTGACGTATGTTCTACGCTACCTCAAAGGTCAGGGTCAAGTGTAACCATGGAACTATCAGATCTGTTATCAGTGGATGCCTGACAACTGTTTTTGATTGCATAAAGACATAGATCTGTTATAAATAGTTGCTAAGCAACTACTGTTATTACACAGGGAAGAATTGTTAATATTTATGTCTTTATTTTGACTAGACTAGATAATATATATGTTTTGTGTTTTTGTTGATTTTTGTGAGCTATGTAAATTTTGCCTTTTTCTATTTGCTGAGTGTAAGGTTAAGGTTGGTTGGTTCCTAGAACATCATAATTAAATGTTGTTGATATATTTTAAGAAAGATAATTATTTATTATGATTATTTGGTTCTAAGGGTCAAATTTCAGTTCAATCTTCATATGACAAACTTAAAAGAAATATTGTATTTCATTTAGAATTTAATTCCTTGTTCAATGACAACTTGAATCTGGCACCCTAAATATTTTATTTTTATTCTGCTATAATCACGGGCCCATAATCACACTTGTCAAAAATATTTTCTCTCAGGTATTTAGATTGGAATAAATATCCCTCAGATGTAGTCATTTGCAATTTTCTATTATATTTTTACATAAAACCACATTTTAAATTAGATTTATGGTCGGGTCATTTGTTCTCTGATTTTAAACAACTTCTTACCACTAGAAGCAGACAACTTATTTCAGGTGTATATCTATTTGGTTATAATTTTGATGATAAAAGTTTTCATTCTTTTATGAGATCACAAGTATTTACTTTTGTCCAGAAATATGCTTCATATTTCAACCCAATGAAATCTTAAATAGTTAGAAATATATCTCTGTTATCTCCCTTTTTAATGTGAGTTATCTCCCTTTATGATGTGAGTTTGGAAACAATCAGCCTAACCTATGTTGTATATTGAAGAGGGTCGTAAAGGGGAGGTATGTGCAGAAAAGAAATTAAGATAAGAATTGAGATGCTGCTATTAACTGAAAATTCATTTTTGACTTGACATTTCTATTTTCGCACAAAACATGGTTAATAAATGTCTTATAGCACAAAAACATGTGTGGGCTATTCCATTAAAATGGACGAGGGAGTGTAGGAGGGAATTGAAAAATTCCCCTACAATCAATATACATTCTTGGAGCAATTTTGCTAAAAATGACCTACAACCCATGTCTAAAAAAAATATCCCTTCCTCACCTCCAACATTCATTTTAAATAAATGGAATAGCCCATTTAGCACTAAAAAAAACCCTTTACTTCCTTCATTGAATACATTGTGTTGATATTCCACATTTGTATGAGGTAGATATGAGATGGCAGCTTAACAAAAACCAAATTTCAGGCAAACACATAAAACTTGATAATACATTGATTCAGCTTACAGTCTCCCCATTTCATACTTTTTATCAGAAATTTAATGTAAATCAAACTTAATATGTATTTCAGGAAGATATTAAAGTATTTCAGCTATGTATGTATTTTATGATAGATATAAAGTATATCTTCTGATGATGAGGCCATTCAATTTTTTTAATCTTTTTCTCACACTTGCATATTTATGGGGGGATTTTTTGTTAGTTTTAGTAGACTTGTTTATTTTTGTTCTTTTTTTGTATTGTTTATGAAATTTTTATCAACTTAGTTTTTAGTTTTTGTAAATTGATTATTTTTAAATGGACAGGTTGTAAATTTAACATGGAACTTATTTGGTGTGGCTGAAAACCTCAAATTAAAGTATTAATCACCAAGTACATGTTTCCGATATCTCAAATAAAATATTTGGCCTTGTTTTAACAAAAATCAACTTGATTTGGTTGCACAGATTTTTTGTCATTGATTTCATTAGGTATAATTTATTTCATGTTTACAACAGCTGTAAATGTTTGTTGAATTCAATTTGCATTTTTCATTTTACTATCATTGTACATTTTTTAGCCCTGGTTTCATAAAAATAGTCATTTTATGGATAAATAAGTTTTTTAATACATTTTCTCCTTCTTAAGGATGTTCGCTACTCTGTTTCAAAATAACAAGCTTTTTAAAAGACTTATAAATTGATAATATATAAATAAAGGAACTAAAAAATTAAGGGTGTTATCGAGATATAAGCCATGGAAAAAATGGCGGGAAATGATTCTCTCTAGATTTTTCATACATTTATTGACACCTTTTTACTTTCAAAACTATGAAAAAATAACCAACATTTTATAAAATTTAAAATAATTGGCTTTTTAAACTCTATGTAATGATATTATGAAAAGAAAAGAAGGAGTTAGCGGGCAAAATTTTTTAATGACACTACATGGATAAAACCAGAGGATTTCGAATATCTGGCAAAAATTCTAAAACAAGAGAAGCGAACATCCATAATACAACATTTTGATCAAAAGTTTTCTCACCCTCTGCAATATAACAGTAGCACATGTGTGCTAGCATGGCAGTAAACTGCCATCAATCTATATATTGGTAAGACTGAATAATACCATTAAGGGTTCAACTAACAAATAGATTTTAAAACTTAACTTGACCTTTTTCACAGCTGATTTATATTATCCTCTGTAATCTGCATTGTATATGCATTGCCTGTTTAAGATTCTCTTAATCATGAAATAAAGCATTTGGTCACTTAAAAGTAACATAACCTGACCTTTGACATGGTAATATCACATCATAAAACTAAATAAGTTGACCCTTTGACCTTGAAATATCGGATCATCAAAACTAAATATATATGCCACCCTTATGAACTTATAATGTCATTTCAGTGGAACTAAATAGGATCGGACCCTATGACCTTGAAATATCAAATCAGTAAAACCAGATAAAAGCTGACCCTATGACCTTGAAATACAGATAAATTAAACTAGATAAAAGCTGACCCTATGACCTTGAAATATAAAATCAGTAAATCTAGATAAAAGCTGACCCTATGACTTTGAAAATTCACTGCAATATAGCTAGATAAAAGCTGACCCTATGACCTTGAAATATAAAATTAGTAAAACTAGATAAAAGCTGACCTTGTAACCTTGAAATATCAAATCAATAATATTGAATAATATTAAATTGAAGCGGAATATATGTTCATGTTTTTCTTCTCCTTGGTTCTAATCTTAGTACATCGTCAAATTCACAGATGATATTTTAAGTTTTTAAGTTAAAAAGAAACCCCGTAAAAAACCTTTCTACTTAACAGTATAGTTTTATAATTATCCGAGTTTCAGGTATTTTAAGTAAATATGTTTCTAAATTTTAACGCTTATAACATTCTTTTATCCACCAATAATGTAAGAAAAATATGTTATTGATATCATATAAAAGAAACGGAAAGTAATTTCTGCAGACATAAGACAAAGATATTACCAATTTGTTTTCACTCAGTCAATATTAAAATCATTCACAAAAATGCAAGTTTCTGTAGTTTTTTTTAATAGAAATAGATTCACAAATTGTTTCTTTAACTAACATCTAATTTTTAAATTGTCAGTATTCCCATGACAGTTATAAACAGTAGTATAGTAAGACAAAAATGGAATTCTCTATTTAACATACAATTACCAATACCAAAGATAAGGGAACACATGCTTATGAATTTTTAAAACAGCTATCATATATCTTCCCTAAACTTATCATCAAACCTCAGCCAACAGGCGAGGAACCAGGATTTGATGTTAGTGAGAGGGCCCTACTGTGAATTAGGAGTTAATTTAGGACCACATTTTGACAAAAAATTGCCTCGAATTTTAGCTATAAATTGCATTTTTCTTTTTTTAGGGGGAAGGAGGGGTGACCTGTCCATCTGATTCTGTACCTGGCCAAATTTCATTTAAATCTCCTGATAAATGTTCCAACAGCTCATCCTTATATCACTAGCCTCAAGAATTTTAAGGATTCTTGTACCAACAACTTTAATGTTAATTAAACAATTTATTTATTGTGTGTGAAGATCAGCTGCATTGCTTCATATTAATTTATTTAAATTGAACATTTAGAAATTTTAAATAATTGTATGTCAAAATTGACTTTCGAAATTTGGTAACCATAGTTACCTCCAGTCAACTACCTCTGTGTCATGGTAACCTCTTCGTCTCAGGGAGAATATCAACGGAGACTACCTTGTCAAGTGCTGCCTCATCTCATCAAGATATTTGTAAACATGGTCATATATATTGATTTAGTTAGCTCCCTTTATAATAGGAAAGAGTTTACTACCTGTGTATTTGGGAAAGTTAGCTCCCTTTGTAATAGGAAGAGTTAACTACCTTTATCATTTGTTTTATATAGATTTTTCTTTCTTTATTCTAATGACTAATGATGGCATATTTTATTTTAGGTTGTCCTTATTTCATGTATTGATATATAGTGTTTTTATGTGACATGAGTAATTCTTTTTTTTCTTCAAATCTTTCTTTTATTCACATATTGGCTATCATTGCAGCATGTGTTCATCCATACATTTCAAAACATTTTTCAGAAAAATTCTCTTATTTTATGTTTTACATTGTATTAATAACTTTGAAGGATCAATTAAATCTCAAATAGTTGAGAAAATCCTTAAATCATTTATGACATTTTAAATTTACCATATGCTTTGAAGTTTCGAGAGTATTACTTTGCCTAAATGTCAAGGTACTTTCGATATTTTTCAATGAATGAATGATGCACACAAAGTGGTAATTAATGTTAAGCTCACCTGGCAAAAGGTTCTATGTGAGCTATTGTCATCACTTAACATTTCCTTGTCATCTATTATTTTGCATCATCTTCTGTAGAACAATAATAGAGGGTCTGGATGGGGGTCTTTCATTTCTATATTTCTTTTAATTTTTCTGGCATTTTTTCTTTATCTTTAAAAAAAACACTTATTCTGTAAAATTCTAAAGAAAATGATTTTTTAATTAAAATTTTCTGTAATTAGAGAATTTCATTAATCTGTACATCCTTCCTTTCTATAATCATTATTGCATTACCTTATTCCTTTATTTTCAATAGGTATTCTTTAGGCTGTTGCACCCTATTATTCTCTATTCTTTTTTTGTTTGTTAATTTTTCTGTATTCATTATTTTTTTTTTTGCCATTATTCTCTATTCTGTTAACCCCATACAGACCCTCTTGTATCATCTTCTATAGTCCTATAATAGGGATCAGCATTGATATTAAAAAAATATATCTGATATAAAAAATCCTGTTACATTTTAGAGGGGCCTCGGTGACTGAGTGGTCTAAGCAGTCAAACAATTGTATCACTAGCCTGTCAACACTGAGGTGAGTTCGAATCCTGCATGTGGCAGGTGCGCTCAACTCCAAACTTAATTAACTAGGATTGTTAGCTTTCCTACCGAAGGTCATTGTTCTCTCCGGGCACTCCGGCCTCCTCCACCAATAAAAACTTGCCAACACGAAAAAGCACAATAGTGATGATGAAAGTGGCATTAAACACCAA